CTAGGAGCCAGCTAAAAAATTTAGGATCCAGTTGTTGATTCCCCCCCCCAACATTATAGTCATCAGAACCACTACAGCGTAATGTAGTGGCTCTGGGGTCTATAGGCTGCTCCTGCAGGCTTTTCAGTGTAAACTCTGCCTTTTCAGACAAAGGCAGTGTTTACATTTTTGCCCAGTAACACCTCTACTGACAGTCACTCAAACCGCCACTAAACTGTCTCCTATCTCAATGCTGCGCAATGTGCAGCACCTACATTCAGCGTCTCCACGCTCTGCATGGAGGTGCTGAACGTTCCTCCTAGAGATGCATTGATTTAATGCATCTCTATGAGGAGATGCTGATTGGTAATCGATAATCTCAGCTCTGGAGGCAGGCCACCTGCAGCGAGACCGGCACGGCGAAAAAGATGAGTAAAACCACCATTCCCATGTGATTGGAATGGGGCCTGTTGACCTAAACATACACATTCACTGACAGACACCCGAACTTACAGACACACACACATACACTCATAGACAGACAGGCACACACACACTGACACACTCAAACAAAGTATTTATTATTATTAAAAAATCAAATCTATGCCTTTAAGACACATACATTTGTAAAGCGCAAAAGTGCAAAAAGCTTAAACACAATATTGTGCAATGGTGTTGTATGTAAACTTGTGCAAATTTTTGTGTATAGAATCCTAATGAACTTGTGCTTTCATATTTATCCATGTGTCTTAATAAACAAAAATCAAGGAGAGAAAAATATATTGCATCAAAAATGCTGAATTATGAAAACTCACAAAAAGAGAACAGAGAAGTCTGCTCTTACTATAGTAGTATTATTATTATTATTATTATTATTTGATATACACATACATACATGACAGACACACACACAAAAAATTAAATAAATGAATAAATACATATTTTTAGCCACCCTACTGTTTCCTACCTTTTGGGTTCAGGCCGGTAGCTTCCATGGGATCCAGTGGGACTAGGCAGGAGCATTGACATCAGATTAGTGGGGCTGACTGGGGCTGGTAGGAGTAGGCTGCCGCTGTTCCAGACTCCCTCCTGTCTCTCCAGCCTCTCGCAGGGAGGAAGTGAAGGGGCCTGTAATTACTTCCTCCCGGCTCTGAGGCCTTGCAGGGGAATTAACGGACGCGCAGGCGGCCGGCGCTGAGGCCTGGGACAAGCAGAGCTGTCTTTACCTGGTGCCCTGCGAGCTAGCCGTTCCCCTGCGTAGCCTGAGCGCCCTGAGAAAGTAATTACAGCTCCCTTCTCTTCCTCCTGGTGCACAGAGAACTGCACAGGGATTGAGACGGGGCGAGGAGGTACGGACCGACCAATTACAGGCACCAGGGCAAAATTCTTAGTTGCCATGGTGACCTGGCGCCTGGGATTTGTCGTGCTCTGTAATAAACCCCTGGAATCCCCATGTCTAGGAATACAAATTTGGAGCTTATGTTACTTTTAGTTGCCTGTAGGAATAAGGGAATGCTCTATCCCCTCGTATAGAGAAGTATTTATTTACACATTCATGTACTTTAGTAGTGGATTCTTGTACCTTTTGTGCATAATGTGTGTATTTAAGAGTTCATTGTTGCCTGTAGGTGGGAGTAGAAATGAAACATCAAATCTGGCAAACTATTTTCCTGTGCACAGTTCAATGGAAGGCGCCATTTATGTTTCAAGGTTTGACCTGTCCTGTAGGCATGGTGTAACCTTAAAGGGATTATCTAGGTCAAAAGAATCCCATATTTTTAATGCATTATATCGATAAAACAATAAATAATAAATGATACATACCTTGAAAGATCCACAGATTGCATTGCCTAACAGGTCTCTTCCCACCTACACTCACACTCCTCTCTGACATAAAAAATGTTTTAAATGTAATTTTTATTTGCATATTCAAGAAACCCTTATTCTGCATGGTGCATTTGTCCATTGTATGTAGTGTGATCTGTAATTTAATGCTTACTAAGTTTTTATGTTGCACCATATTTGTGTTTTGCAATAAAAATGCTGCAGTGGTTATGGTGCCAAGAGTACCCTGGGGCCCCCATTTTAAGAAGTCAAACTTTTTTTTTTTTTATGGTTTTGCTTCTTACCTGTGGTCCACCGGGTGCTGATCCCTGCCTACAGTATTATTGCCGAGCAGCTGGAATTTCCTAAACTGGAGCTTTCAGTAGTTCTCCTCGGTTAAAGGGACACTGATGGTTATAACCTGTCCCTGCATGCTTTTCATGAAAACACTGCCTTTTCAGTGAAAAGGCAATGTTTACATTGGTACCTAGGAACACCTTTGGTGGCAGTCACTCAGATGACCACTAGAGGTGCTTCGTAGACATGCATTATTTCAATACATCTCTATATGGAGAGGCCATGTGGCGCAGCGCATGTACAATAGCCTTCCAGCCTTCCATGATTTGGCTGAGATCATTCGAATTGATGATCTCAGCCACAAAGGTGGAATATGAGACCTGCGCGGTGTGGGAAAAAGGCTGAGTAAAATCACTTTTTTTATTGCTCTAACTGGGAGGCCAGCCACATAGGCACTATAACGTCAGCAATGTCTATTTGTATTCCAGACACTATATCCTTTAAGCCAAGCAGAGCCAATAGCGGATGCTCTCAGCTAATTAGCCCAGCCCTGCGAGAGCTAACATTAGTTCCTAAATTAGTAGTGGAGATGGGAGCAGCTCTGGGCAAACCCAAGAAAGAAAAGAAAGAAGTCTTAACTGTTCAAAAGTGTGCTGCAGTGGTTATGGTGAATGGAGTGTTCCTTTAATTTAAAAATAATAAACAAAAAAAACAACATATATATATGAAAAGGAAAATTGGAGAGCATATGCACAGCTTCACGCATACATCGTCAGTTTACATTGGGATCCCACCTCCCGTACGTATATATTTACTGGTTAGTGATCTAATCACCGCAGTAACATTTTATCCTGCAGTATATATTCACCAGGTAGACATATGAGCCACACTAGTGAATAGATTATTATACGCTATATAGTTACACTCCAGTAAATAAAATGACCAGTGCCAGGTTTGTCAGGAAGCAAAACTGATTTAATTATTGAAATATAACCTCAATATTAAACTTCGTGAAACATTACTCTTGACTTTTTAAAGAAAGGTCCTGGCAGTCGAGAGGGTTAGTAGACATGTTGATGGACTGGTAGGGTCCCAGAGCTGTTGTTTAGGGTTCCCTACCAGAAACGTAAATAGATCATTTAAAAAAAAAAATAATTCTTCACATCCACCAGCACTATCCAAAAGAATTCAAGAAAACCTGTACTGGCCGCACTTTGTCTATGAGGGAGATTATTATCAGTCTAAAAATTTGTGCTTCTTTTACAGCCTTATATGACTGCACAAACCCTGCACCCACTATTCAGCCCCAGGGCACAGGTCTTGGTAGTCACCCCCACCTCCAGCAGTATTTCTAGGACAAAAGCGAAAACAGCACCTTTACACAGGTTAACCCTTTTCATTGCCAAAAAATTCAAGTTTGCCTAACCTGTTAAGCCTTAAATGGGTTAAATTCGTTCTTGCTGAGTAAAGATTCAGCCTCAATGTACATTCTACATTAGACAATCCACAGACACGCAGCAGTTCTATAGTGGCTCCAAAACCCTTTATTGCACAAAATACATTAGCATGGTAGTGATAGAGCTAGCCCTGCAGTATATCAGGAAACATCTGCTAGAAGACAGAAACAGCAAAAATATAGAGAAATATGAGTAAGGCAACTTTCATAGACAGAGAGAGAACATGAGCCTAGAACCTCAACTCAGCGTTGAACCTCTTGGATTTGAAATCCACTTCCATCCATGTGGGCCAATTCTAAGACCTCCAAGCCTTGAAGCATTCTGTCCAGCTATTAACATACAGAGGGAGAGCCATTGTTGGCCCCTCTTTACTCTTAAAGCATGTGGTGAACCATTCTGCTTTCTTATTTAGGAATAAATAGTCATTTTTAGCCACTCTGGTAGTCTGATTTGGACCTCCCCATCTCCATCTCTATCCAGTGCCTTAAAAGCTCGGAACATGGAGTCCATCCGGACTAGGCTACTGATAAAACTGTCAAAGTTCACGTTGCCTTGGTCATCAGCGTAACGTCGAACGAGCATGACGTAGAGTTGGTCATTAAGCTCGAAACCTGCAGCTTTGAGGGCCCCTGGCATGTCTTCTCCTTTGATGTATCCCGACCCTTCGGCATCAAATTGCTTATAGATACACTGCCATTTTTTGATGTTGTTCCAGAGGTACTTGAATTCTTCAAAGCCGAGCTTTCCTGTACCATCGCTGTCCATGACGGCAACCATACTGCGGCAAGTGTCAATGTTGAAACCGTCAGTCTTAAGATTTGAGTGCTTTGCCACAACTTTGTTGAGAACATTTTGAAGTTCCACGGGGGAGACCTCCATGTCTTCTCCTGCAAGCTGTTTGAAAAGGCGTCGGAACTGGCGCTGCTCCTCATTTTCGTTCGCTTCTTGTTGGTATGTGTTGGCGCAAGGGGCGGGAGGAGGGGCAGGTTGGTAATTTGCAATTAATCCACCAATGACATTGACAATACCTCCAATGATGTTTGCCGCTTGTCCACCTCCAGCACCCGGTGCACCAGCAAACAGCTTTCCTGCGCCGCCGCCACCTTGTCCGCCTCCTCCACCACCAGACAGACCACTAATAGCTCCTTGTATAAGTTTGCCAGCACCTCCTTGTCCAGCCAATCCTCCAAGTACTCCTTGTATCATGCCTCCGGCTCCGCCACCACCACCCTGACCAGATCCTGCCAGGCTTCCGATAACTCCTTGTAGAACATTGCCAGCTCCACCGCCACCTTGGCCTCCTGAGCCAGAAAGGCTGCTCATGACCCCCTGTAGCATGTTGCCAGCACCACCGCTTTTTCCTCCTCCTTGTCCTGAACCCGTAAGGCCACCGAGAACCCCTTGCAGCATGTTGCCAGCACCGCCGCCTCCACCTTGCTTAAACAGAAACATCTTGTCTGTAGTGAAGACGAGCTTGTGGATGTTCAGGAGGTCTTTGTTGCAGGTTGGTTGGTCGTATTTGATGCAGTGCCTTGCAGTCGACAGGGAGTGTTGGATGCAGAGCTATGTGATGTTCAGGTCCGTGCTCTGCAAGTCAGCTGGCGTGTTCCTTGCAAGACTCTGCAGACCAGTCATGCAGGGATAGTATTTGCAGAGCTTTTCGGACAAACAGGGAGTAGGCAGAGCGAGTCTGGTCTCGCACAGAGAATCAGCCTGGAATAGAAAACAGAAATGGTGAGTCACAGCCCGGCTCCACCCAGACAGTCACAACCAATGACAGTACAACCTGAATTTTAATCGCTCCTAAAATTGCATGTGAGCCCAGCCCAGGCTGCACTGACTCCCTTGCAGTGAGCCCTCCGTACATAGCAACAAACCACTAAACAATCTGGGTTCTGCCAGATAGAGCAGCATTAACCCTTTCCTAGCTTACCCCTGCGGCAGTCGAGGGTTACACGCCTGGCTCTGCACCCAAGCTGGGCATTATTAAATCAGAGGGGTTTATTCTCAGTGCCTGGAGAAATGTTGGCAGGGGAACCGAATGGGGGAGGAGTACCACCACAGGGGGGGAGGGATGGGATCTAAGGAAACCAAAGATGGAATGCCAAAAAAAAACTAACCCTTTCCCAGCCTTTAACCCACAGGACTGGCTTCACACTAAGTGTGCATTAACCCCTGAGTGACCGTGCAGTGCATGTTCTATAAACGTTTAGATGTCCTTAACAAGGAGAGTCTACATACCCAAGGTGATATATTTATAGATCGATTCAACCCATGACCAAATGGAAACTGTGTGCGAGGGCCGCTGGATGTCAAACTGGACCACATCGGTCACCCTTGGGTATATTAAAAGAATATATTGTGGAAGGAAATCTTTATACCGAACACCCCCAACCCCCCTCTCTCCATGCCAGTGTTAATAGGGTGGGAGCCAAAATACAGCCATTGTTGGTTGTGGTGTGTTCTTCATAGAAGTGTTGCTATGTCCAGGTATTTTTTGTTGTATATTCTATATGTGCAATTAATCACAGCACTTCGCTTCTGGTTCCTAAATACAAACCTTATACACCAACGTCCTCAAACTCCACCTGGTGTAATGTGTTTACAATACTCAATATGCAAAGTTATTAATGTGTTAATAGTTGATTGTCAATTGTTGCAGTGCTTCACACACACACACACACAGACTCACATTCTGCATGGATAATAAATTATTTATCGCTGGCTGTGTGCAGAACTCGCATTGTGTTGGAACAATCGTAGGAAGTTACCGGGCAGTAACAACGTAGTTAATCCCATTCGCTAATGACCTGTTTTGTTTTCTGTACCCCCTCTGCTGCTCTGCATTAGTCTTCACAGCAATAATGGCAGCAAACAAAGGACTATAGTTCTATAAAATGGGGTAACTTAACCTATGCTTTTCATTAGCTAGCACAATGTATGGATCAAATTTATACTCACTGTTATAATTACATCTCACTGTTTCACTGGCTCTTTCCTTTATTTTGGTAAACATTTTACCATTTTACATTTTCATATTGATTCTTACAAAAATAGAACTCGTATTATTAAGCATGCATTTTCCAGTATGATTAAGTCAATCAGAATGCGTCAATTAAAATAGTGTTTTGTCTGTATAAACGTCCGTGTTCTTACCGCAAGGGGCACATACAATCCATGCATCATGTTTATAGCTGGCCCTGTGGGTACAGGAGACATGACTCGTTTGTGAGCAAGCCCTGGTGTGATATATATAATCTTACTTTCACATAAAGTGTCAGATGTAGTTTTGATGGGTGAGGATGATTGGTGTTGTGGTTGGGAATGAAACGCCTTTTATGCCAGTTTCATGCATGGGTCTGGCTTTGCTGCATTGTGGCATATTGAGGGGTAAGGGATTCATTATCTCCCCCTCCCCCCATATACGATCCTGGTATCTAGTGGGGTCTTGTGATCTTCATTTTTGCAGCGATTCCATGACACTTTACAGATTATGGCCCTCACTTATAACCAGAGACACCTACCGTTTCTTATTTTTATTTTTTTGTATTGTGCGTTCCCCCCCCCAACAACCAGATGTCTGGAACGAGGGCTGTGAACATTGAAAATACCCCCTTCCATAGAGAAACAAACAAAAAAATCACAGCACTTGTTGCAAACTCTGTCGCTGTCTATGGCCTTGGTGAGGAGGATAAGTGAATGCAAAGAATGTGATTTCTCACCAAGTTTTTTTTTTTTTTTTAAATGTTGCAAAAGCAATGTTGGTGTAACATTTACTCCGACTCCCAATGGCTTTCCTGACCATGTAGGACAAAGCTCACTCCTGGTATGGATAAACTGAAGGCAGGACATTGTAATCAATGAGAAAACCCCTTGCACAGTGTCTGCGAGGCTCAAAGTGTTCCTTGGTTCCTAATGCATGGAGTAGTTTCCGCAGTAACAAAGAATTGCATTATAGACTAATTGTAACCTGCAGAATTTGTTACCAAACTGATTTACTGACTGTCCTTTTAACAAAGAGTTAATGAATTGCACACACCCAGAGGCTCCATCTCAGGCAGGGATTCCTGTTGGCAGCTTTAAGCCTTTGCACATGACACTATACAGGAAGAATGTGTGGTACCCACAGGAACGCCCTGACAGCGAGGGCTGGGTGAGGGGAATCTACCCTCAAGGCAGACAGTTCCCTCCTGACTAAGTACTCAAAGCATTTCTCATGGAGCTCACTGTCCGTGTCGCCCATCGTGCTAGTAACACCCTATTGCTGGGACCCACGTGCTCTAAGAGCCCGGTCCTCAAACGCTACTGAGCTGCCCTGCTATGTTTTAGATGTGTCTCCCTTCCTGCATTGCTTCCTGCCTTTGTGCCAGCTCCCCTGCTTTGGTGCACGCTTTCACTATTAGTGTGCAATCTCAGCATTAGCCCGCAATCTCACTATTATTCGTGTACAATCTTACTATCAGTATGCAATTTCACTATTATTAGTGTGCAATCTTGGCATTAGTGTGCAATCTCACTATTATTAGTGTGCAATCTTGGTGTTAGTGTGCAATCTTAGCATTAGTGTGCAGTCTCACTATTATTAGTGTGCAATCTTGGCATTAGCGTGCAATCTCACCATTATTCGTGTGCAATCTTGGCATTAGTGTGCAATCTCACTATTATTAGTGTGCAATCTTGGCATTAGTGTGCAGTCTCACTATTATTAGTGTGCAATCTTGGCATTAGTGTGCAGTCTCACTATTATTAATGTGCAATCTTGGCATTTGTGTGCAGTCTCACTATTATTAGTGTGCAATCTTGGCATTAGTGTGCAGTCTCACTATTATTAATGTGCAATCTTGGCATTAGTGTGCAGTCTCACTATTATTAATGTGCAATCTTACAATCAGTGTGCAATTTCACTGATCAGGTACAATTTAAGCTTTAGCGTGCAATCTCACTATTGGTGTGCTCTCCCTCAGTTAGTGCAGACTCCCTGCATAATTTTGCTACTTACTTAGTGCCATTTTCGTACCTCTGTACTCTTTCAGCATTAATGTAAGTTAGTGCACACTGTTTGAGTTCTTGTGAAATGTTTCAGGATTTTTCACTAAAGTGTGAAATTTTAGGCCACAATAGCAGAGTTCCAAAACGTCTGCAAACCCACTCTAGTTTCTGTTCGGCTAGTTTGGCCTAATATGTAAAATTCACTGTGAGTTCCTGACTTCAGTAAATAACCTGCCTGTGATGGTGCACTCCACAGTTAGTGCTGTTTCTCTGCCGTAGTACCTGCTCCCTGAGTTGATGCACTCCCCAATACTCGGTACAAGTCTCTGATTGTTATGCAGACTTACTGCCGTAGTACCTGCTCCCTGAGTTGATGCACTCCCCAATACTCGGTACAAGTCTCTGATTGTTATGGAGACTTACTGCTGTAGTACCTGCTCCCTGAGTTAATGCACTCCCCAATACTCGGTACAAGTCTCTGATTGTTATGCAGACTTACTGCCGTAGTACCTGCTCCCTGAGTTGATGCACTCCCCAATACTCGGTACAAGTCTCTGATTGTTATGGAGACTTACTGCTGTAGTACCTGCTCCCTGAGTTAATGCACTCCCCAATACTCGGTACAAGTCTCTGATTGTTATGGAGACTTACTGCCGTAGTACCTGCTCCCTGAGTTAATGCACTCCCCAATACTCGGTACAAGTCTCTGATTGTTATGCAGACTTACTGCCGTAGTACCTGCTCCCTGAGTTGATGCACTCCCCAATACTCGGCACAAGTCTCTGATTATTATGCAGACTTACTGAAGTAGTACCTGCTCCCTGAGTTGATGCACTCCCCAATACTCGGTACAAGTCTCTGATTGTTATGGAGACTTACTGCCGTAGTACCTGCTCCCTGAGTTGATGCACTCCCCAATACTCGGTACAAGTCTCTGATTGTTATGCAGACTTACTGCCGTAGTACCTGCTCCCTGAGTTGATGCACTCCCCAATACTCGGTACAAGTCTCTGATTGTTATGCAGACTTACTGCAGTAGTTCTGGCTCCCTATATTAGTGTTTAATCCCTGCGTTACTGCACAATCTCTGTATCAGTGTAAATTCCCTTTTATTAGAGAGACATTTAGTGTCCAATCCACTGCATGAGGAGCACAGGAAGCACATTCAATTCTAATCATAGAAAATTCCCCAAATTCCTCTAGAATTTTACTCAGTCAGGGCAGCAGGAGCGCCCCTAGTGGCTGTTACGTTTCTAACAAACTGTAATGTTTTACATTGATGGGTTAAAATGACAGGACCACTGCCCCCAGTTAGTACATGCGCTGTCTGTCTGTGCGCTATTTCCTGTTACAGATATTGGTTATTTTGTCAGTTATGTTAAATCCTGAAGGTGAATCTTTCAAAATCTTTAAAAAATATATCTTTTTTTTTTCTTCTTGCATTTCTACATACCTGACATTTTTTACTTAATCAAATGTTTTTACAGTTTTTTTCTTTCCCTGGCAGTAAATCACGCTTACTGTTATCATTAGAAATCTTTTCTGCCCTTCTAGTAAATCTCTGTTTTGTGTCACTTTCTTTGCCTCGCAACCAAAGCTAATACACAGTATACAACTTTTATCATAAGGAAACTAATGTTCTAAAATGAGAAAGTTGGTTCGTTTTACAGATAAAAACCTTTAGAATTATAGTTAGTGGCCACCCGATTGTGTTAAATCGCACATTTTATCCCATAGAATGCATTTGTGGTCGTTAACAGGAAAATGCAATCTCTCCAAATTGTCTAAATTTTCCAGTTCGGCAGTTGCTTTGTTACGTACGTTTTCTAGGCTTAGTGAAAGGGGAAGAGGCACTCACTGGGAGAATAATTACAGCACCTGCACCGTAGCTGCTGTGACACAGGGCAGAAAAACACCTGTAAAAGGGTCCTCCTGTCACTCAGAACATGTCAGTCAAACAATAAGCATTGTCATTGAAGAATGTGTTCCCTCCCAAACACTGTGTGTATTACTTAGGCCTCCCAATAGTTCTGGTTTTGGCAGACAGTTCTGATTCAAGGGTCCTGAGACACCATTCTGATTTTATTTTTTCTTCCCTGTTTTGCATTTGGGGACATAAGAGAACTATTCTTGGATAGCGCAGCGTGAACAAATTATTAGTCGCGCTCAAGCTGTGAATGGGCACCGGTGCCGCACAGAGCGTTTGAGCAGCATGTTGGGGCCGGCCAGACAAGCTATCAGTCAGTCTGGCGCACTTCACATCATGCTGACATGGCTCTTCAGTTGGCTGGCCTAGCCATTATGGGCGTCACCAATTAAGTTGGGTCACTGGCAACTCCCCGCTCAGAGCTTGCCAGTCTCTCCCGATCTCATACCATACCTTCCAATATTGGGAGGTAAGTGGCCCTGGTCTGAAGCCTGGCTCTCTGATGTATACTTTGCATTATTACAGTTGGCAACAAATGATTCCAGTTAATTATTTGGCTGCAGCAGGAGCCCTGGAGGCTACAATTTGGTTGTGCACAGTCCCCCTTCAGCTAGGTTAGGGGAGCATTGAGATAAGATATTAGTACAGCGCTCACAGTAGAGGAATCCTGATGGGATTAAGGGTTAACTCTTTGCGTTCTGTTAAACCTGATATACAGGAATTCATTCTTTATGAAGGGCTTGGTTACCAGATGTCAGTCTCCACCCGTACTCTCACTTTGTTTATCTCATTGTTTGGAAAAACGTGAATGATCTCTGGTGAAATAAATGTTAAAGGGTTTCTCCAACATACTTGGTGCACACAACATACTACACCCACCTCCCCTGGCCCCATCTCCCGTCATCCTGGTACTTGCTGCAGCTATAATCCCATCAAAACAGGAAAGGGGAACACGCCTGCTATCAGCTTGCCGAGTAGTTTTATTCATTTCAATCCAGGAAACGGCTTGCAAGCGCTAAACCACAAATCTGACACTGAGCACATTGGGAGGACAGGGATTGGCCGAGTCCCTGCACAAGGTCCAGCAAAGTGATGTGATTTAGAAATTAATATCTTCTTTCCCCTCCCTTCTTTGTTATGCATTTCTATTATCTATGCAGAAAAGGGGACCTTCCTCAACCCCTGGTGTCCTAACGAGCAAAACACAAAAAAAAAAAAGATTCAATACATTGAGGTGCATGAATGACATTGTGTTTTTGTGGTTTTGTTTGGGAGTGTCATCTTAAAACTAATCCGACGTTTCACCTGTCGTTTTTCTCTCTGCAGATTTACGCGTTAAACAAAGTGATGACGGAGCTGGAACAGCAGCAGTTTGAAGCGTTTTGTAAACAGATGCAAACATCTGGCAAGTAACCATGGCTTGGCACAGGCCAAAAAAATGAGCCAATGTCCGGTGACACCAAAGTAGCCGCGCGTTGGGACCTGCTGGCCGCGGAAGAGGATTTGTAGGTTTTATATAAAAGTAACCCTTTCTCTTGTGAGCCAACTTGCCCACTTTAGACCATCATACAGGTTTTTATTCTATTTACTTTTATTTACTTTCAATCTGCACCCTCTGCTTGATGAAATTTCTCCTGTTTCAACTATGATTTTATATTAAATCCATTTTAATAAAATCACAATCTCGTTTGAGCACATCTTTCTCGTTTTAACGGCCGAGAGCTGCCATGGTGCGTCTCATTAAAAGCAATGGGTTTTCATTTCTTGTGAAGGAGAACTGGACCGAACATTTATGGGAAAGATCAGGCCTTTTGTGGTGTTAGTTTATTTAAGCCACTGCTCTGAGGTTAAAATATCTGTTTATTATTTAGAATGCGTTGGGGTACGGTTAGTAAAACGCAGGGGATTGTGAACATCTTAAAAATTTAACTGAATCAGACAGTTCATATTGAGGTTCAAACAGATCAACCAATTTCAGGCTTAGTATCCTTTAAACCATGTGTAGTGATTAGTATATTTTTCCCGTAATTTCAGTGACAGTCCAAGACTTGTATCTATCCATATTTCTCACATTGTTGATGGTGCGAGGAGCTTTCTGCCCTGCCGTATGAATCGGATTCCTGTGCAGTTTCACCAGATGCTCTGCTCTCCTAGATTACAGGTGGTGAGCTGCCGGAGGTCAGGCTTCTGAGCGCCTCTTTCTAAGGACTGGCTACGTGCGGCTATTGGGGACAGACCAGGTGCAATGGTTTGAAGTGCTCTGCCATGGCACATTTTTGGTTGCCGCAGGTGTGGTTACAGCTAACAGCCCAGAGATTATCACAGTGTATGAGTGTCCTGTCTCTGGGAGTGTGAGATTATCACAGTATATCAGTGTCCTGTCTCTGGGAGTGTGAGATTATCACAGTATATCAGTGTCCTGTCTCTGGGAGTGTGAGATTATCACAGTATATCAGTGTCCTGTCTCTGGGAGTGTGAGATTATCACAGTATATCAGTGTCCTGTCTCTGGGAGTGTGAGATTATCACAGTATATCAGTGTCCTGTCTCTGGGAGTGTGAGATTATCACAGTATATCAGTGTCCTGTCTCTGGGAGTGTGAGATTACGTTATTGTGTCTGTGACCCTGTTCTAGACCCTTACGGCGGCCTTTCCCTGATTTGGTCAGAAAGGTAACAAGGAAGGGGTCGAATTCAGGTGTAATGGCCACCTTGTCCGGGATGATGGGGCGTGGGCATTCTGCCCTCAATTTGGCTCTCACCTCTTTTTCTAATGGCCGATGGAGCCAGATTCTACAGTATTTGTCAATGTGGTCTGGGGGTGTCCATTCGGCAGATCTAGGGTGTCTAGGGTTCCAAATGGAATTCCTCTTGAGGTATGAGGGAGGGCTGATTATTTGCGAAATCAGGGGGGTAAAGGTCTCGGGATGTCTTATGAGGTGGAGCATCATTATCCGAATGTTCTGCATAGTATTCAACTACCACCTGAAGATTATAATTAGAGGTTGAACCCTCAAGTGGGTCAAAATCATGTTGGGAGACAACCTCCCTGGGTTTAGAATAGGAATCTCTAGGGTGTTTGGCAGGCGTTTTGCCTTTATCGGCGGTAGCGCTATCGCCCTTCCAAGGGCGTTTGTGAGGAGCTTCGTCACGTTCTGAACCGTGAGAATCCTCTGAGTCTGACAGCTGGGTAATGGTCGCCGTAGGGGCTGGGACTGTCTGCTCGCTGAAAGCCGCTAGAGCTTTGGGCATGGAGTCGGTAATTGCATTGTATAGCCAAGCCTTAAGTTCAGCAGAGACTACTGGTTCTGGCAAATCAGACATAATGTCAGTAACAGTGGGGTCACCACAACTATAGTTAATTTATTTATATTTTTATTTATAATTAAAAAAATTTTTTTTTATATATATATATATATACAAACTTTACAATGAGGCGGTGGACTTAGACAGGATGTAAAATGCAGGAAACCATTATCCTGTAAATAAGTGGGGTTCATCCAAAGCTTATCAGTGGGGTTCACCCAGAGAGAAAAGGACAATATAATGTCCAAAATCAATAACAGGTATGTACCTGTGTAATTATATAGGGGGTTACCCTGTATAGAGGCAAAAAAAGGGCGTCACCCTTAGAAAAGAGGCTAGAGGGGGTCACCCTTAGAAAAGAGGCTAGAGGAGGCGAGTATTATTATGCTGCACTCTTTCTTTATTTACCTCAGCAGCAAAGAAATTTTTTAAAAAACATAACCAGTACATAACATTAACAGTCTGAGAGTAGTATCTCAAGCCAATCAGGTTCTTCTCTCCAGCATAATAGGCTCTGTCAACCAATCCTACTCCTCTTTCTTTGCTGCTCCCTCAGTTAAGTAACATCAAGTCCCCTGATTTCTTAACTGTGGGGCGATATTTCTTATATTATTATTGCATTTATATTTGTGATTATTATTTTGTATAATATTGTGATTAATAACTACTCCTTAACTTGTTAATAGCTATTAGTTTCAGATGGATTTTACTCTCACTCTAGTGTCCTGCTGATGTCTCTATATTGGCTTTCCTGAGCTGTTTTTAGTTCCACAACGTGGGTGGCCATGGGTTGCTCGAGGACCACGAAGTGCTCACTCAGGACGACGACCTTATGGTAAGTCCTCTCAAACTTCTTTCTTCCCTACGGGCAGTGGGCGGCAGACTCCGTCATTTTTTCCAAGTATGGTCTCACATTTCATCAGATGCTTGGGAACTGAACACTATAAAAGGGTACATAATAGATTTTCTGTCTATACCAATACAACATTCCTCACCACGGGAAATCCGTTTTTCCCAACAAGACGCGACCCTTGTCACCAAGGAGGTTCGGAACTTAGAAAGTAAACAGGCCATATCAGAAATCCCTATGACCACAACAGGCTATGGTGGTGTCCGCCCAGTGATCAACTTGAAACAACTCAACGCTTACGTATCCTACAACCATTTCAAAATGGAGGGGATACATTGTCTAAGAGATCTCTTACAACCATCGGATTGGATGGTGAAGTTTGGATGGTGAAGTTAGATCTTCAAGACGCTTATCTTACAGTGCCGATTGCCCTGCAACACCAAGATTTCCTGCAATTCATATGGCAGGGAAGAAAATGGAGATTCACCTGCCTCCCATTCGGACTGTCCTCAGCCCCATGGTGCTTCACCAAACTTATGTAGCCAGTAGTCGCCTTACTAAGAAGTCGAGGAGTACGTCTCATAATCTACTTAGACGACATCCTCATCATGGGACAGTCTACCCAACTCACCTGAACTGGACTCAGACACTACTACAAAATCTAGGCTTCCTCATCAATTGGGAGAAATCCATTTTGATCTCCACACAACACATAGAGTTCTTGGGTCTCATCATGGATTCTACGCTTCAGACCCTACACCTACCAACGACAAAACTGAACAATATCAAGAAGGAAATCAGACGCACGCTGGCGACTCCGCAGCTTTCTCTCAAACAATTGGCGAGAGTGATCGGTCTCCTCGTGGCCTCCAGACAAGCCATCTTCCCATTTTAGAGATGGGGTCTCCTACACAGATTTGATCACTCTGAACTCAGAAGCGAAAGACTAACTGAAATGGTGGCTCTTCCATATGGACGCCTGGAATGGTCGTGCCATTTTCGGCACCACACCAGATCTCATAATAGAATCCGACGCGAGTTTGCACGGTTGGGGTGCTCGCTGTGGAAATGTATCTACAGGTGGCAGATGGTCCGACGTGGAATCATCCCTCCACATCAATTGCCTGTAATTCCTGGCCGGATCCTTTTGCAATCCGCAGTTTTTTTACCAACTCAAGATCAGTGCTCTATCCTTCTGAAGATGGACAATATACCAGCAGTCCGATATATTAACCATCTAGGAGGCACGAAATCGAGGGTCCTGGCGAACATGGCACAGGATTTCTGGCAATTCTGCCTGACACAAGGCATCTCTGTCACAGCGGAATATATCCCTGCAACACCACAGCAGATTGGTACTCACGTCACCTCAGGGACCCCAGTGATTGGCAACTGGACCCCAGAGTCTTCAGAGACATCCAGTCGTTATGGGGCCCCATGGACAAGGATCTTTTCGCCTCCCGCTTGAATACACAACTCCCCAGATTTTTCAGTTGGAGACCAGACCCATCAGCTCTGGCAACAGATGTGTTCATCCAAGACTGGTCGCCCACAAGGAACTATGCATTTCAACCGTTTGCATTGATACCCCGCTGCCTACTTCGATTAAGACTCCAGACGGGAACTCTGGTGCTTGTGGTACCGTTATGGCCCTCCCAACGATGGTTTCCCTCCATCCAGGAGATGGCGATAGACATACCCCTCCTCCTCCCAGACTTCGAGTACCTGCTTCAGGACCCGGACGGTCCCCCTCACCCCCTGGTACAACAAGGCCTTCTACACCTCACAGTGTGGCTGATATTCAGGGGACCTTGGGCAATTGAGGGAGTTTCGGAGTCAACTCTCCACCTTTTCAAGGACGCATGGGCACCCGGCACGAGACAGGCTTATAAATCTTCATGGAACAGATGGCGTGATTGGTGCCTGGAACGAGATTTGGATCCCATATCGGCTCCTCTGACTTCGACCCTTCAGTTCCTAACGTCATTATTTGAGGACGGTAAAGCCTATCGTACAGTGAACCTATACCGATCGGCCATTTCGGCTAGACACCAAGGTATAGATTGGGTCCCGATAGGACGTCACCTGCTGATATAGACTCCTACGTGGCATCAAATTTGCACGTCCCCTACTACCAGGATACTCGATACTGTGGGACGTTTCCATCATCCTCAGTTTCTTCCAATCATGGCCAGATAATGCATTTCTATCCCTGAAACAACTGTCGGCAAAGCTGGTTATGCTCCTTTGCCTCATATCCTCCAAGAGGGTTTCCGATGTCAGAGCCCTGGACATTACTGCACGTTCCTACACCCCGGAAGGGATCACGTTCGATATATCTCGAAGAACGAAGACGTCATCAAAGAAGGTCTTATACCCATCATTCCCTGACAGACCGTCCTTATGTCCGTTCAAATGCCTACAAATTTATGAACTTCGCACCTCCACTTTAAGAGATCCAGCAAAACACGAACTTTTCATCTCTTTTCAGAAACCGCACCTACCTCTACCCTGACTCGCTGGGTTAAATGGATTATGGCCCTAGCGGGCATCGACACCTCACTATTCTCACCTTATTTGGTACGAGGAGCGATGGCCTCGAAGGCTTCCTCGATTTGTTGTCGCCTTGAAGACATTTTGAAGGCGGCCGATTGGTCCTCAGGATCTACCTTTCGTGACCTCTACTTTAGACCCATTCAACACTTCGCGGGAACGGTAATCTCCCAGCTTTAAACCAGCATAATAGGAGCCTCCGTGTCTTAATACAATTCACAGATTTTACTATTACCATGACGTAAAGTCATGATTTCATTAACGACACGGAGTCAAGTATTATCCCTCCCTCCCATCCGGAAGAAAGATGGAATATGGGTAAGTTGATTTCACTGTAAGTCCTGATATCATGGAGCTTGCTCTTCATGCTATGTTTGTCATTACTCGAATTTAACCACAAGGGAGGGAATATAAATAAATTGATTTCACAGTAAGTTCTGATATCATGGAGTTTTTTTCCTCTGGCTATGGTATGTTTCCCAATGCTTAAAACTTAACCACTATGGCTTAAAATAATTAAATTCTATTCACTATGACCGGTGATTTATGCATACACCCAGTTTTATACTAGAATATTACCATATCTTTCCTCTTTTACTTCCTAATCTACTGCATATCGTTACGGTTATTCCCTTTGTACTCGACCCCTTTTTCGGTTGGATGGTTATTGTTATTCGGGATCGCAAATAAAGAGGAGTAGGATTGGTTGACGGAGCCTATTATGCTGGAGGGAGGAACCTGATTGGCTGTTCCTGTTGCTAAGGAGATACTACTCTCAGACTGTTAATGTTATGTACTGGTTATGTTTTTTTTTTTTAAATTTATTTGCTGCTGAGGGAAATAAAGAAAGATTGCAGCATAATAATAGGAGCCTCCGTGTCGTTAATAAAATCATGACTTTACGTCATGGTAATAGTAAAATCTGTAAATTGTGTACAAAGAAATGAGCGGATGATGCCGGGAGCCGCGGCAAAACCGTCAGTGCTCTAGATTTAAAGTGACAGAGCACAATATAATTAAATTGAAAGAAGTATGAAGTAATCTGGATTTGTGGGCTGACGAGAATGTCAGCCCACTTCACAGATGTTAAAAAAAAATTAAAAAAAAAAAAGAGCAAATATTTCATATAAATAAATTGAAAGAAACAGAAAATATATATAATATATTAAAATGATATTAAAATGATAAAAGTCAGTTAAAAGAGCTATTATTATTATTATTATAGGGATATAATTGGAATAGACTCACCTGGGAGGCTGAGCAGCAAAGAAAGAGGAGTTGGGAGGAGCCTGATGGCAGTTTATATTACTGTGATGCATGCTGATTGGTTAGATTTTTTTTTACACTGATTGTTAACTGTTTCTTTGCTGTTGGGAGTTTCAGTAAAGAAAGACCAGCAAATATTCGCCTCCTGTCTTTAATAAAATTTAGATTATTCGGTCACAAAAAGTTAGAATAATCCCAAATTACATTACATGTACAATAAAAACCTGCTGAAATTAGAACAGCACTGTCATTGAAACAAAAGAAATGCACATAGTTGGAGAGAAATCAGTGCTTTGCACCTCTGGAATAATTCTTACCAGGAATTGGGAAAATCTGCTTTCTATTCTAACCCTCCTATTGTGCCACCTCTACTACAGTCAACAAGAACGATGAAGAAATGGCCTCAGACATTGGTTTCAAACTATTGCATCCATTTTATTGCAGGGATTTGAAGGAACAAACAGAACACAGCGAGCTGTCACATGAACGATAACAATTCTGTGGCCGATCACAATGTTTGCTCTCACAAGGCACCCATACCAAGTGCATCACACAGCGAGCCCTTGTAATAAATTGCAGCAGATCACACCAAGCATTGACTTGAGCTAAGCTTTGTTTGCGTGTTACAGAGTCTCTGTGAAGGTGTTTAATAAAGCTCACCTACATTGAAGATGTCCGCAAAGCTACGGTTTATGGACCCCAAAAAAAGGAAGAATCTGCTACTTAACAAAAAACACAAAAACCAACCTGTCACTGGTTACATAAGTGAGGTAAAGAGATTTTGTCCTAAATCCTTTTTATACATTATGTCATTTTCAGTTTGGATGATAGATCGGTTTGCAGCAAATAGTGTTTATCGCTGCTTTTATTTATTTTTATTTTTTTAAATCTTGCCTTCACTCAGACGTTTTCAGTACAACTTTGAGAAACAGGGGAGGGTAACCTTTTTATAGGGCCAACATGTAACCAGATCTGTTTCATTCAGGGCTTGACGACGTTGGCCTAAATTCAAGAGCTGGTTCAAAATTTTAAAAGATAGATTCCTTAAAGGGGAATGCATCAAGTGACAATTTATATTATTTTAAACCAGCAATCAAACACTTTAAACAAATATACAAACTAAAATAAAGAAAGGAAAGTTTGAAAAGCATGTCATAAATGTTTATAAACTTGGTCAGATACCATTAGTGGGCAGGCATCAAAAAATAAAGCTTTGAATGATACCGTTGTATCTAAGTGATGCGTATCACTTTAAATGGACAATCCACTGCCAAAATATAAATAAAATTCACTGTTTGTAGATATACACCCAGTGAAAATATGCATGCATTTAATTAAGCCTTTTTCCCTGGGTGTATATCTAAAACTATCTCGTAAAAGCTGTAGCTCTCCAGTCTGCAGCCTTTGCAAGTCTTCCCCTTCTAGCCCCGCCCACACTTTCTGTGGCTGTCCAATCACAGACTTCCCAATGCAGCTCAATGAGAAGTCTTTGCAAGGCAGGTGCTCTGGACAATTACTGCCGCTTAAGTTGAGTTCCACTGAGCTAAACAACCAGGAAGTAACAGGATCGGTTATCTGATTGACAGCCAGGGGTGTGTAACAAAATTTATTTATAAAAATGTCAATTTCCACAGAAACTTGGACTTTTTGTAAAATTAAAAAGGGGACACATTCTTCACACATAAGGCATTTTAGCAAGATAAAGTGCTTGTATTGGTCTGGAGTGCCCATTTAAGAACGAACTAGGTCTTTCAGTTACTCGCATCACATACCCCATGGCACATATCTGCAAACAGCACAAATTGTTCATACACATTGTGGCACTTATCACTCATTACATTTTTTCTGTTGTCGGGGGGCTAATTTGTTTTGTACAGTTGGACCTGCAAACCTTCTGATCCTTAAATCTTTTAATATATGACACTAAGCCACATTTGCTGCACCTATTAATAATCACATGGCACCCAAATATCTAATTTACCAGACAGTAACCATATACCACCCATACAACATCAATAAACCACACAATATCCATTTAATACTCACATCTACATAAAACACAAATTCCCTCTTCCTGACAATTTAACAGGCTTTTTTTTCTTTACATTTTATTTATAATCACTACCTCTGTGTAATTATTACAGAGCCAGAATTTCAATAATTAGATTTTGATTTTTAAATCCTCCATCTATTGATCCACTTCTGCTGTTAGAATACCCATTTATCTGATATCAAGGAGTCCTATATTACCTAATCAACTTGCCACTGACCTAGCCCAGCGAATCCCAACACTGGAAGGGTTACATGTCCCAGAATGAATTGCAGCCTTAAGTTCTTTTATGTGAGTGCAACGCATTTAGGGCTGCTGGGAGTTGTAGTTTTTATGGTTAAAGTGGAAATAGATGGCAGCGTTGTGACTGCAAGCCCCAGTATGCAACATGATTTTTCCTGTCCCAGGTAGTCAAGCACATCAGGTCATCCCTTTTATTGACATCAACAGTGACTATACACCCCTTAGCACCCATCACGCTCAGCCTTCATTATTCACCAATTTCATATACAGTCCCTCCACACGGCGCCTATTTCATATATATATATATATATATATGTTTTATATCTCTGATCTTAAATGCAGTACTGTCACATACATCACTCATCATACACTGCGCCAATCTCCCACCCGTACGCCAAACACAGTGCCTGTCACTTACTCTCCTAAACATATCAAATACAGAACATGAAGCGAAGTCAGCAAAACATATAAACTGCTCCACTTAGTTACAGGGCTTTTTATATATAATTTAGTAAAATGATATGGAAATCATTTCATTATTGAGACCAGTTTCTGGATGAGAGTGATAGAAACAGCTATTTTTTTTTTTTATTGGCGATTGCTGCTGTATTGGCAGTGGGAGGACTGTGCACTTCCTTTCTCGGGGAGATAAATTGGATAGAACGCGCTCCCCAACAATTTCTCTCTCCTTTGTGGACTCCCTGTACGCCAGGTTGACTGATGCCCTCGGCATCAATGCTTGAATCCAGACTTTGCCCACTAGGCACTTGCTACAGTCTGATGCCTGGTAGGCGAAGTGCCCGGAGACACGTGGAAGCGTTGGGATTTTGTGCAATGCACCGCACTGTTGTATTCTGACATGTTCAGTCTTCCCAAAACGTAACAATCGTTTATTAAAGAAATTACCAAAAATTTGGCTTCACTGTTTCTGACAGATTCTAGGCTGAGTGGGTGAATAGCAAACTGGCTCTGTTGGTTTCAATTTATTTATCTTACCAGTCATGATTTGTTAGCACTAATTAATCCTGTGGACTAATTGGCAGCCATACAAGAACTGAAATCTGTTTATTTCATTAGAACTACAATAAAATAAATTGCAATTTGAATGCAGTATATGCATGTAATATATATTAATGATATATTTATATTTTTTAAACATAAAAAGGCAGAAGTCCAGCTAACTATACCCGCTGCGGTATATAATGGATATTTTAATTGAAATTGTAATGAAGCAATATAGGCAATCCTTTTACATGGAGACCAATCTCAAATTTCCTGCTGCTATGTGATTTGGAGAGATGTGTCTAAATGTCACATTTAATCCGTAGCCTGCTTGTCGCTATACTGGCGATATTCTAAACTGGGGCACGGCATGTTCTGGTTTTATATTTGAGTGGGCAAGAGTCTCCCACACCAGTATTAACCAGACCCAAAGCTCCTTAGTTCTGAGATTTGACGAGATCAGATGTTTCTAGGCTGAAATGACTATAGGGAGAGTATGAATTCTATTGAAGAGTTGCACTGTAGGAAAGGACTGTACGAGGACTGCATTTCCAGGGCTGTGAGTTTTAGAAACTGGTTAGTTATCAGCACACTCTTATAATGTCTCCAGAGAACGACCGTCATCTGGAGCATCACACAGCATTTCAGAGACTGCTTCACCATAACCACTGCAAGATACATCTCTAATACTCAATCTATTTATCACCCCCACCTATGTCTCTTTATGCCAGTAGCTAGTTTATCTGTTTTCTATTTTTTTTACTAAAATGTTTGTTGTATGCTGAGGTTAGAGAGAGAACATTTTAGCCATAATATCTGTCACACCAATGGGACGCCTATCACTCACACATCATCTCCTCAAGCTCGCTGCCTTGGAATTACTTACGACTCTGCTTCTACCTTTTCTCCTCACGTCTAATCTGTCTCCAAATCCTGTTCCATCTTAACAATATTGGCTGCATTTAACCCTTTCCAACTCGACACAACTACAGCATCTGTTCATGCACTCATCATTTCCCAACTTGACTGTTGCAACTCACTACTTGTCGGCCAATACCCGCATTGCCCCTCCTCAGTCTTTCATGAATGCAGCCGCCAGGCTCATCTTCCTGGCTGACTGCCACTCCCTCCCCTCACCCCTTCCCCAATCATTACAAAGGCTTCCTGTACCCTTCAGGACCCCATGCAAACTGCTAACACTAACCTACAAAGTCCTCACTAACTCCACTCCTCACTACATTTCCTTTCTAATCACAGATATACGCGTTCTTGTTCCCTTCACTCTGCAATGACTTCCTTGACATCTGCTCATTCCCGCACTGCCAATTCTCATCTGCAGGATTTATCAAGGGCTGCCCCATTCTACTAGAATTCATTAGCCCCTGCCATCAGGCTCTCTCTCATCCTCCAGTCCTTTAAGAAGACACAGAAAACACACTTCTAATGGTAATGCTTCTCTTATTACAATTGTCCTTCTCAGTCCCGTCTCCTCTATAGCCCGGCTCATTCTCTCTCCTTCCACTGTTTAGTTCTTCCACACACAACGTTTACTGGTTTATTTCAACATGGGCATCTTATTCATAAACCCCTACCCCCTCTGACATGCTGGTATTCCTCTTTTGTGTCTTTACCCCTTCCTCATAGACTGTGAGCTTGTGTGAGAAGGGCCTAATTCACCTCTTGTCTCTTAAAGGAACACTATAGGGTCAGGAATACATGTTTAAATAGTTTTTAATCCTCCATTTAGGTGGCATGCCCCCCCCTTAGAAAATGTTAAAACTCACCTTATTTCCCACGACACATGGGTCTGCCGATGCTGGCCCCGCCGCAGATATGCCTCCTTGGTGATATCATCAGAATTTCCCATATGGATTGGGTGAAATCAGCAAGGGGGCGGGAAAGGAGTGGGGCCAAACAGTGTTGTCCAATCCTCATCTCCTCATAAAGATGCATTGAATCAATGCATCTCTATGAGGAAAATTCAACGTCCCCATGCAGAGCGTGGGGACGCTGAATGGCAGAGGTGCCCACTGTGCAGCACTGTCCCAGGAAGCACCTCCAGTAGCCATCTGAGGAGTGGCCACTTGGAGGTGTCGCTAGGGAGCATGTAAGCACTGCCTTTTTTTTTTTTAAAAAAGGCAGTGTTTGCATGAAAATGCCTGAAGGCACTGATTATACTCACCAGAACAACTACATTACGCTGTAGTTGTTGTGGTGACTATAGTGTCCCTTTAATATATTTGCATGTCAATTACTTGTCAAATATCCTCATTCCATCAGTGTATAGCACTGCAAAATAGGTTGGTGCTATATAAATCATAATAATAAAATTTATCTGGACCGCAGCTAACAATATTGAAGAACAGAGAGGTCTAAAACCATTTATGTAGACTGAGTTTAGAACCGTTTCTATGGTAGGTCTGTAAGGCTAGAACCTTATATATGATATGTCTGTAAGTCTATAAGTTTATGTATGGTATGTCTATAGGTATAAAGCTGGCTTCCCAACTATCCCGGTTTTCAGTGGGACAGTCCAGATTTTCGGGTCCTGTCCCTATGTCCTTACTTTGTTCCCTGATGTCCTGCTTTTGGGGACACCATGGATCCGTCCCCAATAAGCATAGCGCAAGCACATCATAAGACGTGCTTGTGCTATATTTAGGACGTTAGAACCTGCAGAGAGAACTAAAATAGTGCTCCCTGCATGGCATGCCCTTGGTGGGCCAGCCTACCAGATTGGCAGGGAGCCTGGTGTGCATGCACGCCAGGCTCACCTGTCAATTCTATGGGCGGACCTGGCCACTTTGGGCAGAGCCAGTGATGTAAATTACCCCTGGCGTCACACTTTACAGCCATTTCTAAGAACGGTTACAGGTTTAGACTCACCAATACAGGAAGTCTGAAGTTTTGATTAGAAACATTTCTATGGTAGGTTTGTGTATCTAGAAGTTTTGTAGTTTTTCTACAGTTTGTCTGTCGACGTGCAGGTTTAGAACCTTTTATGAGGTTTGTATGGTGTAAATAGACGTGGGTCTCCAGCAACACAGATAAACGAATATAGAGCCCTTTTCTTAATTACACTCCTACAGACACAGCAATACAATCTGAAGTCATTGTGCCTTGAGAAGAAAACAGTGATTTGTAAGGTGCTATAACCACACTAAACCCATAATAATCACTGATATAGGAGGCTTCATTGTTATTAATGTTCCAAACATTCTGTGAGTAGGATATTGTTTTTCCTGTTTTCCTGTAGCTAGAGGGTTAACACAAACTCGTGTTAATGTCTCTGTAAAAAAAAGCCACCTTCTCCAATAGCCATTAATGTCACACGCTGGCCGTTCACTGAAAAAGTGTCAATAACATTAATGAGTCTCTTCAGAGCCACCAACTGGCATGACAAAGAGAGATTGGAATCATAAGGGGAGAAAGAAAAAGAACGTTGGTCACTGGAGGCTTCTACGTTGATTAAGCATTGGCCATAATTGTTAAATATTTTCTTTTTCTGGGTGACAAGATGCTAATGCTCTTTATTCTGTGAAGGCAGACACTTCTCACTGGTGAGATGTCTCTGGGTGGCTCTCTTGCAATAAGAGAATAAACTGGGTATTGTTCCTGAGGCTATTCTATATACCCATTATTCTCTCTTACATTCATTTCATGATAAACCTCTTTATCTCAAGCTATTTGAAGTTTCCCGCAGCCATTATAAAGAGAGTTTGTCATGTTCTTGCCTTCAAGCCATCTGAGGTGATGGATCCAAGCAGATGTAACACTTGGAATGTGTAGGACAGATGAACAAACCAACGCTTCTATATTCGTATGGTGTTGATACGTAGTGGTTGGACATTCTTACCGTTGGCATGACTCTGCCCGGGACTGAAATACGAGCAGAGTTTCCCCGGGAACTTTTCACGAAATGTGTAAAGCCATGACATGTCTTCTGCGTTATAGAAGATGAGAAGACCTTTGTCATAGTCCAGATAGACACCTACTTTCTCAAGTTTGCTTTTGACATTCAGCCGTGTCCATGGCTCCGTACAGGCGCTGTACCGGTTTCCATCATGCATGACTATGCAGTAAAAGCCACGGCCAGGCTGAATCTGGATACTTCCTTTACGGCTGACCGCTTCATGAGCTAGTCCTATCATCCACTGTGTTTTATCCGATACCACCACCTCCCAGTAATGGACCCCTCCATCAAAGACCTGCGTACCCAACACCGACACTTCCACATCAAATCGCTTTGGCGAGTCTTGTAGCGGCTGTGGGTGCAAGTTGCCATACGCCACAATGGTGCAGTCGTCAGATAGGATCAGTCGCTGATGAGCAGTCACTGGATCGAGGGTCAAGGCTGCTGGCACTAATCACATAAAAGACAATTCGTCTGTCAGCTTGCAAGCTTTTCCATGCAGTATTAGACTTACACAACTACTAATAAACACATTAATGGTGATCTGTCACTTTAAAATGAATTATTATCATTTAAATTAACTCTAAATTCAGCCGCTAAATAATATTAGTTATATTCAGTTTTTTTATGTTCTATATATAATCGTAATAATATTCAAGAATTTGACCAGAAAAGGTACAATGAGCTTGACACCACTTTTCAATTACTTACAAGAGTCTAGATGTTGTTATTTCCCAGCTTAACCTGTTTACGCCGTTAGCACGTGTCATTACATCGGCTTAAACGATGTTAGGATGTAATGACATGTCCTAACATCTATAGCTACCCATGTAATATTCACGTCGCCGGATCTGATGGGGGGGGGGACTGCAATTGGTTGCGATCGGAGTCACATGATCACAGGCTGTCACCACAATCACTGACACAATAATGTCACAGCCAATGATCTGTATTACAGGCTGTGACATTGTATTCTGCCTCTCTCTTTCCTCACTTTGTTCTGATAGGCAGAAGGATTACTGTTACAGTGTCCCAAACTGTTGAAAAAATGTTTTTTTAATTTATTTATTTTTTAACACTTTAAGTGCTGATCAACTTGGAAAATAACATTTCTCACACTTTGTTAGACTTTATTCATATTAAATTGTTTTGTATATAAATGTTTGATGTGAAATGAAAGCCCTATTTCTCCTGAACAAAATGATATATAATAAGTGTAGGTGCAATTAATATGAGGTAAATTATAGTTGAACAAACATATTGTAGGTTCAGAATTTGGACAGTTGCCCCTGCCTTGGTTAATGATTCTTATTTTATTGACATTGGAAGGATGAATATCTGAGCTGACCTTCCTGGAAGGGAATCCCGCTATCTCAAAGTGGATAGTAAATAGGTTTGGGAGTCTGGAGTCCTCCTGTCCACTCTGACATTATAGGAAGGGACAGGGGGATCCATAACCCCGTACCCAGTATGGTAACCCTTGATCTCCTGCAGGGCAAAGAGAAGCCAATGCACAGATCTCTCCTGATTAAAGAACCCCCCACCCCTCACTCATTTAGTTTTTATTTAGCTGTTCACCTGCCATATGTTAAAGGACCACTATAGTGTCCGGAAAACAAACTCGTTTCCTGACACTATATAATCCTTAGGCCCCCCCCCCCAAGCTCAGGGCCCCCCTCCCGCTGGGCTTAAGGGGTTTAAACTGGTGACTTCTCCCCTTTCCGGCGTCAGCTCCCGAGTGGAGCTGAATCCGCATGCGCGGCCAGAGCTGCCCATAGGAAAGCATTTCTCAATGCTTTCCTATGGACGTGCTGCGTGCTCAATGCGATTTTCACATTGAGCGTCAGGAAGTGCCTCGAGCGTCTGTCAGGAAGACAGAAAAACCTGAGGGACCTGGCACCCAGACCACTGTTAGTTTGTGAATGCCACAGCACCTCCTTGTAGCACTGAAAGGGTGTAATGAATAATACCTACATACATTACGCTTGTAGTGACAGCACAGGTTAGATGGAAATAACACTTTATAAAGTATATCATTTACTCTGACAGAGGAGGCACGTTATAGACCTTACAAAGGTTATAAATGAACATTCTGCTGTTCTGTTTATTTATATAAGGGGTTAACATTTACAGTTAGTTAGTGTAGGATCTTTATGCTCCATGTGACATCAGAGGCAGCACGATGCAAGCACCGTCTAAGTAACCAGTATCAGCGCTTATAGTTCCATATAAATTAATTCATTGTTTTTTTTTTCATGAATAAATGAACTTGTGAAAGCACCCCAACAATTCTATATCTAGTATCGCAAATTTGCAAATTCAGGGCATTATCTTATTACCTTCATGCCACATTAAAATGGTCAAATAAAGCATTAAACATTAATAATGAATATCTCCTCTAAACAAGCAAAATACAGACCACTAATATAGACCGTAAAAGCCATATTTACAACATGACATTTTGTCTGATGGTGGAATATATTTTAACACGATAAATAAAAAGAAAAGTCTGATCCTTACCCCTCTGAAAATCTAATTTGATACTATAATTGATGATTGATCACTGTTTAGTAAATATACCCCAAGTGGAAACTTCATAATTTTAATTCTGCATTTTCTCATTGGAGTTATAGATAAAACCACTTTACAAAATCAGCATTTTTCTTGTCTGCAGCTTTTGCAATCCCTCCCCTTCTAACCCCGCCCAGACTTTCCGTGGCTGTCCAATCACAGACTTCTTAATGCAGCTCAATGAGAAGTCTTTGCAAGGCAGGTGCTTTGTGTAATTGCTGCCTCTTGTGTTTATCTGCACTGAACTAACCAAACAAACCAGGAAGTAACATAATCTGTTGTCTGATTGACAGCCAAGGGGGTGTAATCATTTTATTGTTAATATAAAATTTCTACAGAAATCTGCACTTTTTACAAAATAAAAATAAAGAGGACATACTCTTCATACAAAGCTTTTCAGCACGCTAAAGTACTTTAGGGGTCTGGACAGTCCCTGTAAGCATTTAGTCACATTGGAGTAGAGTTACACCATACCCAACAACACAAGACGTACACTGCCACATCTTGCTTTCCAAATATTTCCTGGGATATCAGACGTGGGTTCCTTTCCTTTAACTCTTTATTTTGCTGTTTGTTACAGAACTAAAGAGAACAAAAAATAATATAAACCTTTATCTAGATATTCTGGAACATTCTGCGCTGTTCTGTTCTCTATAAACGCATATAACATTAGGAATGGCAGTGATGTTACCTGGGTGAATGTCTTGGAAGAGAGATCTCCAGATGGTATACTGCAGGGGACCCATGTATTTCGAAGTCGGGAAATCCTCATACGTCAGGTTTGTTTCATGGATCTTCCCTTTTAACCTGGAAACGAAAAAAAATGAACTGGAAGTACCCCATAATAAAGGTTCAGCTATTCCCCATAGTTAAAGAGTGCAGGTTGTAATGGATCCTCCACAAGTTCCACGTTTTTTTGCATTCTATATGGAAACGCAAATGTTCAAAACTGCCGGCCAATTGAGCATTGATGATTTCAATTATAAATATCGCAATGCACACTCAGAATTTTCTTTTGGCTTTCGATAAATTGCACAGAGCAAGCATTGAGGCATGGACTAGACACCAAAGGTGAATTCCTGCTCGCTAGGGCTGAATTTATACTAGCCGATGGCTAGTGGGCGAGTGATTTCTTTTTAGCTGTGCCCTGCTAGATTCCCTTGCTGTGTTGGGCAGATAACACTGTTTCCTGAGATACACGGCTTTCCAATCTGTGGTCCTAAATCTTTGTTTCTCCCTTTAGTCTCCAAGGGTTGGCTTCTAATATTAAAGTACGTTTTTATGAATTTCAACTTTTTTTTTAAAACTATCATAATAACTGTAGTTTAATTAAAAATCTTATTCTAAAATGGAATGGCCCACTCAGTTAAAGACCACTGTGCCACATGTAGCCTTGCAGGATAACTCAGATGGCATTCCATACTGGCATACATTATTTTGGAATATGGATGACAGCAAATATAACATTTGGTGTTTACTGGTTTAAATGAAGGGTAAAAATGACCAAACCCTACTTTTCCGTCCCCTGATCCTTGTACCTCTCTGATAGAGAAGAGACTCCACTCAGGAATGTGTGCTTGTCTGCCTCCGCCAGCCGTTCCTGTAGGATCTGTACGCCCTCCTGCACCTTGCGCAGCTGCTGACTGTACTGCTGAACCTTCTGCTCGATGTCCGTCAGCGTCCGTGCCGTGTCAGACTCTAGCTCCTCCAACATGGCTTTCTGCCTCTCCCTCAAAAGCCGGTGGAGCCGTTCGAAGGCTTCCCCAATGGTGGCACGAAGGCTTTTTGCTGACGACTAATTAGATATAAACAGAAAATGTTCTTAATTGTAATCAATAAAATACATATATACACAATCCAAGGTCCTGCAGAGTATGTGGTCCAGTTGTGTGTTTATGCACCATTTGATTTGATCCGGTATCACTGCTCCTGGGTATTTTGGGCTAATTGGTTGGAACTGGTAATGTGATTTTTGCATCTTGGGTATTGAAGGGTGAAAAAACACCCTTCAATACCCAATACTCAATACCCTGGTAATGTGATTTTATCCTGATGAAAGTCTTCTTAGACTGAAACGTTGATGTAATGTGACTGTACTCACAATAAATATTTGAATTAGGTTGAAAAGTCTAGTTAGAGCTCTCCTTCGTGATCATTATATACGGGGCCAGATTAACATAGGGGCTGATGGAGCTGCAGCTCCAGGCCCAGGCACATGGAATAGGCCCATTGATTTAAAAAAATAAAAAATAAATTATTAGTATTTTTTTTTCCCCACACACTACTCTTAGGGATTCCACCTGGCTTTTATTTATTTTTTTCAAATTTATATTTTATTGTGTTAATCGATGTTGTAGGGGTACAGAAAAGAAGGTGGGAGGGTTGGTTAAGCAGGTAACACCTCTATATGACACTCTTGATTCCAAAACAGTGTGTCGCCATTGTGCGAGAGACATTGTTCCAACACAATAGTAATAGTAACAACTAACAATTGTGCACAAGGTAACATCCGTACATTCTTAACATTGTGGCATTAACCTTCATGAGACAATATAGTGCTGTTACATGTGCAAGGTGTTCCGTTTGTCGTCGCCTGCATTGTAAGTCGTCAGTGGCGAAAGGTAGCACTAGTTGTCGTAAAGTTTCTTCTTGTCCTTTCGTTAGGTGCTGGGTGGTAGGGGTCTGGTAGGGGGTCTAGAACCTGAGAGGGGGTCTAAGGGTGTCCGGGGGGGAGGGGGTTATAGGTGGGTGGAATGCGTGGGTGTGCGCGAGCAATACCCGTAATTCGTTGGTCGTTGTCTTGGTTTGGTGTTAGAACTGCTGTGGTGTAGGGGGCTAGTCCGGGTTGCAGTCCCGGTTAGTGCTTGTGGCGGTGTTTGCTATTGTTGGTGTTCTGTCCTTTATCCGTCCAAACTCTCTTTCCCATTTACCCCAAGTAACGTCAAATTGTGTGATACTCTTAGCAGATGTGGTTGCCATCCTCTCATATATATGGAATTGTCCTATTTTATCTGTCAGCTGTAGCAAAGAAGGGCAGTTTTGGGATTTCCAGTTGAGTGCTAGGAGATTTCTTGAGGCCATGAAGACTAACGTTATGATTTGTTTTTGGCCTGGGTTAAGGCCTGTGGGGAGCAGGAGCATTAGGCAAATGGGTGCTGTCAGTTCAAATTTTGGAATGTCTAGTGTGTCTAGGATTGACCTCGTAGCAGTCCAGAGAGGTTGGATGCCTCTGCAAGACCACCACAGGAGTATCAGTGTGCCTGGGCTTGATTGGCATCTCCAGCATAGCGGGCTCGTCGCGGGAAATAGTTGGTGAAGTCGTTGTGGGGTCATGTACCACCGGTACATGAGTTTCCTGTGGGCCTCTATGTGTGAGAAACATTTTGTTTGTTTGGACAACCCGTTCAGAGCTTGTAGCCACTCCATATTTGTTAAGGTTATGTCACAGTCTATCTCCCATTGGGCTTTGTGCGGATGTGGTTTAGCTGGCGTGAGTTCTTGCCACGTTTTGTAACATAGTGTGAGTGTTTTAGGTTTATTGGGTGAGGACCAGCATCTGTCAATGAGCAGCTGTGATGTGGTTTGTGGGGAGCTGTTTGGGTTGTGTGCGGTAGTTATGTGTGCTTGTAATACGCTTTTAATCTGTAAGTAGGAGAAGATGGCTCGGCTGGGGAGTTTCCACTGCGTTTGTAGTGTGGGGAAGGGTGTTACTTTCCCTTCGGTCATCAGTTGGGATATGTGTTTGATCCCTGCCTTATGCCAATCTTGGAGTGGTATGTCTGTTACCATTGTTCTGAGTATCGAGATGGGTGATTTGGGGTGGAAGGAGTTGTTATATCCATTGGCTCCCATGAATTCATCCCATACTGCCAGCGTGAGCTGGGTGGTTGGGAAGAGATCCTGTCGTCGCGGTCTGAGGTGTTTGGGTGTCCAGAGATAGTCAAGTAGGCCTTGGTTGCGGATTGTGCTCTTTCCATGTCTACCCATTGAATCGTATTAGGTGGTGTGTGGAAGAGGACACCTGTGGATAGGATAGCCGCTCTATAGTACTGTCTGAGATTGGGGAGACCAACTCCGCCAGAGCGGGTTTCTGTTTGGAGGAGTGCCATGGATACCCTAGGTTTCTTACCCCCCGAGATGAAAGTGCTGCATAGTTTTTGTAGTGTTTTGCAGCATTGGGCGGGTATTTTGAGGGGGAGCATCCTAAAGACATAGAGAATGCGGGGCAGGATCATCATTTTGTAGGCATTAATCCTCCCCAGCCATGAGATCATCGTATGTTTCCATTTGTGCATTTCAGTGTTGCAGAGCGTTTGTAATGGTGTGTAGTTTAATGTTAGCGTGGCCGAGGTGGAGGGTGCCACTTTTACACCTGGCTTTTATTTTATTGGCACAGCCAGTATTTGAGGCTGCCTGGCTGGTGCCAATATTGCAGTGATACTGGCAATACAAATGCTGGTATTTTTACTATGCAATACCAGCACTGGGACATTGGGAGACATTATGGCAGACACTGAGACATTAAGGGACATTGGGAGACATTATGGCAGAGACTGAGACACTAAGGGACATTGGGAGACATTATGACACAGACACATGTCTCCCAGCCAGTGTCCCTGGTGTCTCAGTGACCCCTAGTCTCCCAGTGCCCCCAGTCTGCCAGTGTCTCACTGTCCCCATGTCTCTCAGTGCCTCAAGTGTCACAATGTCCCCATGTCTCCAAGCTAGTGTCCCTAGTGTCTGTGGCCCTGGTGTCTCAGTGTCCCCATGTCTCCCAGTCCCTCAATGTCCCCATGTCCCCCAGCCAGTGTCTCTAGTGTCTGTGTCCCTGGTGTCTGTGTCCCCTATTTTCACATTGTCCCCATGTGTCCCAGCCAGAATCCCCTAGTCTCCCAGTGTCACTGGTGTCTCCATGTCCCCAGGTTTCCCCGTCTTCCTAGTGACATGGGGACCCTGGGATACATGGGGACACAGGGAGACATGGTGCATTCAGACACTGTGATACATAGGATCACTGGGAGACCTGGGGACATGACACTAGGGGACACTGGGAGACATGGGGCACCGAGACACTGATACATAGGAACACTGAGACCTGGAGTAATCGACACATGGGGGCACTGAGTCATGAGGGCACTGGGAGGAATCCATCTATACAGCATAATCAAACTAAGTACTTTTTGGTGATTTTACAGCATTTTCTCTTATGTCACTCCTTGTGATTTACATCATGTGATGTCACCCATACATATTTAATTATGCAAATTAGTAAGGCCAGTATGTTTTTCCAAGAAAGGTGGCAACCCTAACTACTTTTCACATACTTTTACTTAAGTATGGAAACTTGAGAGGGATGTATGGGAACAAAACTTGTGTGGACTGGTTGACAATGAATATAGTTAAAGGGACACTATAGTCACCAGAACAACTACAGCTTATTGAATTTGTTCTGGTGAGTAGAATCATTACCTTCAGGCCTTTTGCTGTAAACACTGTCTTTTCAGAGAAAATGCAGTCTTTACATTACATCCTAGTGATAACTTCACTGGCCACTCCTTAGATGGCTGTTAGAGATCCTTCCTGGGTCATGGCTGCCTAAAATGCATCCAAACATTCAGTGTCTCCTCCCTCTGCATGCAGACACTGAACTTTCCTCATAGAGATTCATTGATTCAATTCATCTCTATAAGGAGATGCTGATTGGCCAGGGCTGTGTTTGAATCATGCTGGCTCTGACCCTGATCTGCCTCTTTGTCAGTGTCAGCCAATCCTATGGGGAAGCACTGTGATTGGATCAGGCCACCACTTCTAATGATGTCAGCAGACTGCTTGTTTTTATGAGTCTAACAGCATGCAGAGTTACAGCTTCAGGCTTGAATATAGTAAGATTTTGCTATATTTATGGAGGCATGAGGGGCCCAGGGGGGGCTAAATGATGGTGTTAACACTATAGGGTCATGAATTCATGTTTGTGTTCCTGACCCTATAGTGATCCTTTAAGGTAATGATGACTTTGATCTCTCTAACACTGTGGCATGTTCCCTTTCTTCTACACTCACTACATACAGCTTTTCTCTGTCCCAGACTATATACCAGGAACTTCTGCCTGCTACTAAGAATGTAAGGAGACAAGTGGACCAGCGAGTGCTAGGGGACAGTCCTTAGAAAGCGTTGAGGGAGCGCATCATTAGATACCTTAATGCCAAGCTTAGGGTGCTGTCTGCATAGTATACCCTTAGTTGGCCAGCTGCATGATTGGCAGGCAGCCTGACATGCATTCATGCCAGGCTGGCCTTCTAATTCTTTGGGCAGACATGTCCTCTTTTTGGGCATGTTCGCCCCTTTTGGCAGGTTACGTGATTTGTGTCAATGGCACACCCTTTTACCTTCCTGCTTGACTGGACACTGCTGTTAGGGGTTATGGATTTACTTGAAAGATGAAAACATAAATTAGAGAGAGATTAGCCTAGGGTATGTGTTTTCTTATAGCTGCTGTTTTCTATCTCTCCAGCACCATCTCCATCAGATACATGACACTTGGGAGTGTTTTACTGTTTTTGGTCGATATGATTCCGTAATTAGGCCCGTCATAATTGTCAGCACCAGGCCCACTGGGCTCTTAATCTGGCCCTGATTTTATATATATATATATATATATATATATATATATATATATATATATACACAAACACACGAACATACGCCAGGGACTTGCAATTTTTAATGATGAATTCATGTAGAATTCATGTAGACGCTACATACGTCCTGGAAAACATGGCGGATCTAGTAAGATTTATTATTCGCCATCGTAATTTCATGCGTTATCCAGCAATGGAAGGATTCTTACTTTGGTTTCAGCCAGTTGGCGTTTCAGGAGCTGAAGGGCTTCGGTGTGTCCGCGTTCGCTCTCCTGCAACGTCTGTAGCTGTTCCTTTAATTCCCGCTGTAGAAACAGAAGTGAGAAACTCATTTAACTTTAGTCCGGGGGAAACTGTGACAATTCCGTGTCATCAGATTAATTCACTATTAAAACAGACACAACAGGTTTCAGTCAGTTTTAAAAAATAACACACAGCCCTTTCAGTGGAAAAAAATATTTTTTTAATCATGTTTTTATTTTACAAGCCTTGTCATTTTTTATTTATTTACGTCATCATTTTTTCTTGGAAAAATATTTTTTTTCCTCCCATTTACATTTTGTCCTGAAAATGTGCAACTGACTTGTCAGTTCTCAACAATTCCTGAATAAACAAATGTTTTAAAGCCTCTCTGTCCCCCTTTGGGGTCTTTGCAGATTGTGCAAAGACCCCCTCCCCCTTTGATGACATCACCGCTTGCTGGCCTACAGGTGCAATGCAGGTAAGATATATTTACCTGATGCCGTATCATCTTATTTCTTCACTTCCCGTGTATGTGTCGCAAGCTCATGTCAGTACTGGACTCTTGTGCATGCGCTAGAGTACACAACAAATGTCTGTGCAGGATCCTGCATGTCCGCTGTAGCCTCCATAGACAAAGCATTTCTCCCCCACAGCGGTCTTGAGTGATGGCTGGGAGAATTGACAAAACTTGACGGCGGTAGCTTCACCTTTTTGTCCAGCGTAGGAAAATGCATTAAACAGGAGTAATTTCTAATTTTTTTTATGATGTCTTTTGACGGCGTTTGTGTTTGAATTTCACTGAAATACCGTCTTTATGAGCATTTTATAAAGATTTCATTTAATGCGCAAATTTGGTGATAAATGAAGACGCTTCCCTATCAATATGGCGAATCTCAGTAGGACATGCATTCCGTGTTCTTGCCTTAATTCAAGTCACTGTTCATGTGTATGGAATTAAGTAGAGAGGTCGGCCTGTGGCCCATCCATAGGGGCCTTGGGTCAGCACCCAACCAGCTTTTACATGGGGAAAATATTTGTTTGCAGTAGTTTAGAAACACAAAGATTTTTTTCTGGAGGGGAGAATGGTAAGACAAAAAAAAATATGGGAAAAATTGGTACTGTATAGGGAGAATTAAAACTGGGGAGAGGATTCTGGCGCCCCACCATGACACCGCACCATCTTAAAACTTCACCAGCCATCCCTGGAATTTAAGCTAGCAGCTGGGGAGTCAAATTTAATAACCCCTCCCCCATCTCTGCTGTCCGGTACCTTAAACCCCATACAGCCAACGAAAAGGCAGATTATGCATTAAAAGGAAAGATTTCGTTTTTAGTCAAAAATAGTTGCATTTGAAAAATCCGCCTACTCCGGCTGTTTTTGCTACTTGTCGGTTTGGGCTTTAACCCCTTAAGGACCAAACTTCTGGAATAAAAGGGAATCATGACATGTCACACATGTCATGTGTCCTTAAGGGGTTAAAATGTCTCTTCAATTCTCATCACTCCCCATTTTAGTGAAGGCTCCTGCTTGTGGTAAAATTGATACAACATGTTGGATTAACATAGTAAGCAGGAATAAAAAGCCATATTTTATTGCAACTGCAGTCTGCCACCAAAGCAAGATGGACGATCTTATCATTCTCGGATAGTTTTTGTGCATGAGGAGATTTCGATGGTGCTTGTGTCAGGAAACGCGGCACATGTTGTAAATATGAATAGAATTTGCCTTTAATCCTGTGATTAGTGCAGTCAGCCGTGAGGCCAGAACATTAATCTGAATGTATTAACGACTCTTTCAATTATCTGCTAATTACTGCGCTCAGACATCGGTGTTGGAAGCAGTGTTATAGTGTTACAGTAAGGTGCTGTATGTGCAAAGTAAATCTGCCTACAAGTGACATTAACAGAGCTCCCGTGGGAGCTCAGACGTGTTTCTGTCCTGTCACTGATACACGTGTGCATGTGTTCGCTTGCTGATATCACTACACACAGCCACGGTATAAACAGACTGGCAGCTGGGAGCAAGCGTGGTAATACGGTGACAAACAGCTCCATTTACTAAAGCTCGCACTAAAGTCGGGAACTCACAGTGAATGAAACATTTTAGACTAAAATCTTTCCAATCGGGAAAATTCTGCAAACGTTTCCATTTTTAACATTTAAGATTAAAATGTAAAATTTTCTTTGAAATGCTGACAATTCCAATTTTAGTGAATACTTTAGAAAACTGCTTTATACCATCTTTTCCCTGGGAGGGAGCCTTGTGCTTGCATCGAGGTAGCTCTGTGCTTTGTACAAACACTCTTTCTTTCTTTGAGTGAGCATTGTGGGCTTAGTCTCTATTTAACGGCGTCCATGTCATCGTCTGGGATCTTTGCACAATTCGCATAGATCCCCGATGGAGACATCACCGCTGGGGGTCCGGAGGCCGGGGGCAGGGTAAAGGTGAGTGCTGCTTACTTAAACCGGTTCTTCATTGGTGCAGCCAACTTCTTCCAGTGAATCCTGTAGTTTTGCAGGATCCTCCATAGAACTCGGTGCTGTACTATTGCGCATGCAGTGACAACGGCTTCTGGCAGCTGAGACACCGGAGCAGAAACAGAGGAAAAGGAAGAGAATGGCAGGGACAGGTTCAGGTAAGTAAAACTCACCATTGCCTGACCCCCTCGGCCACCAAATTACAATACTGAAGCTAAAATATTAATTTGGGAAAATCCTCCAACTCTAGTCTTTCTAGAGAGGTCCAGTTGTATCCCGTTTCCATAACTCCCAACATTTCACACGGACAAAGAGGGACATTTTAATTTTAGGGTGTGGTCAGGGTAGGGCTGTTCTGAGTGTGAGTGAGGGTGTGACCAGTTCCGAGACATTTTAGGTGACTTACTTATAGCAATTTATAGAACTAAAATGTAAATTAGAAGAACAATGTATCTTATTTAAAAAGACTGATTTCTAAACACATTTATTTTAGTGTAGACACATTACTGGGAGTATTATTGCTGTGGAGCTCTGTTATACACTCAGACACATTACTGGGAGTATTATTACTGTGGAGCTCTGTTATACACTCAGACACATACCTGGGAGTATTATTGCTGTGGAGCTCTGTTATACACTCAGATACATTACTGGGAGTATTATTACTGTGGAGCTCTGTTATACACTCAGACACATTACTGGGAGTATTATTGCTGTGGAGCTCTGTTATACACTCAGACACATTACTGGGAGTATTATTGCTGTGGAGCTCTGTTATACACTCAGACACATTACTGGGAGTATTATTACTGTGGAGCTCTGTTATTCACTCAGACACATTACTGGGAGTATTATTACTGTGGAGCTCTGTTATTCACTCAGACACATTACTGGGAGTATTATTGCTGTGGAGCTCTGTTATACACTCAGACACATACCTGGGAGTATTATTGCTGTGGAGCTCTGTTATACACTCAGACACATACCTGGGAGTATTATCGCTGTTGGACTCTGTTATACACTCAGACACATTACTGGGAGTAATATTGCTGTGGAGCTCTGTTATACACTCAGTCACATTTCTGGGAGAATTATCGCTGTGGAGCTCTGTTATACACTCAGACACATTACTGGGAGTATTATTGCTGTGGAGCTCTATGATACCCTCAGACACATTACTGGGAGTATTATTGCTGTGGAGCTCTGTTATAAATTTAGACACATTACTGGGAGTATTATTGCTGTGGAGCTCTGTTATACACTCAGACACATTTCTGGGAGTATTATTGCTGTGGAGCTCTGTTATACGCTCAGACACATTACCGGGAGTATTATTGCTGTGGAGCTCTGTTATACACTCAGACACATTACTGGGAGTATTATTGCTGTGGAGCTCTGTTATACACTCAGACACATACCTGGGAATATTATTGCTATGGAGCTCCTAGAAAAGAGGGTAATTAGGATAGAAAAGAGGGATAGAGGAATTTGGGTGGAAAATAGGGACTGATCCTCTTAAATAGGGACACTTGGGAGGTATGGATTTTCACTCATAAACTCAGAGTCCAAGTAGAGGATATGTGCCAGCTCAGAGATGGCCACAGTGTGGGTGACAGGAGGTTTAGAGAAAGTCCAGCGTGAATCACCGAGAAACAGCCATTTCCTTCCTGATCACAATGGATGCCGGCGACCATTAGCAGCGTTCTGTCACGTTAATACTAACGATGCTGCGAGGGTTCTTGAAAGAGCAGCAAATAACAATGTAGCAGAAGGATCAGTTCAGGGATCAAGGTCTAATTCCTGTATCGAGCCGTGAGCTGTCATACAGGTTCTGATTCTGTACAGAACGAGTCTTTATATATTGTATATAATCCAGCACTGAGCATCCTTCTATACCTACCGACTTTATATGGCTTACGGAATATGATAAATACCAATAATAATAATAATAATAATTAACAGTCCTTGTATAATTCAGACTTTCTACATTCCGGAGTGTATTCACAAACAATGATCTGAAAATTGAACTGTGAAATGTAATTGAAAATAACAAAGCTGTGACTATAGCGGAGTTGGGGACACTCTGGACCCCTAAAGCAGTTTATCTTGCTGAAGTGCTTTATGTGTGAAGAGAATGTGCTTTTTTATTCCTTTTAGTGCAGAAATTGGCAGTTTTATACATTTAAGAAACACTACAGGCACCCACACCACTTTCTCAATGAAGAGATCTGGGTGCCATGTCGCCCCTGTTTAACTATGAACCTAAACTCAACTACTACTATGGAAAGCACTGAGATCATCGATGATGTGCAGCAAGCCAGGGACCAGCGCTGCGTGGGAGAAATGGTACTTAAACTCACCTTTTTAACCCTTGCAGTGGGTTCCACATAAACTGTGACTAGGGCAGTATAATGTTAGGATACATATTTGTATTCCAAAACGCTATAGTGTTCCTCTACCCTGGTTACACCCCAATGGGTTTCAAGCAGACAACCAGTTACTTCCTGGTTTGTTTAGCTCAGTGGAGTGGAGCCTTCTCATTGAGCTGCAGTGGCAAGTCTGTGATTGGACAGCCACAGAAGGTCTGGGCTGGGAAAGAAAGGGAGGGCTTGCAAAGGCTGCAGACACGAAATCTGCATCTTTTGCAAGTTTTTTTTAGATTATACCCCCCAATAAAAAAAAAAAAAAAGTATAATTAAATGCATGAATGTTTTCATTTGGGGTACATCTACTAAACAGTAATTGTTTATTTGGGCAGTGGAGTGTCCCTTTAAACAAATTTCCAGAGGAAGAACTAGTGGCGTTTTCTGCAGAAGTGACCTCTAAGCACATACCTTGGACAGGCCGTACCAGGTTCTATAGCAAGACAGTCCCTCTATATCTTCTGCTGTTTAACTGGTTAACATTTAACTAATAAAGAACATCACGTGTACACCAGATCTATCTCTCCATAGTATGAGAATTCTGCATTTAAACCTTACTGCTATAATTTATTTGTCTCAGCATGATTATGTGTATTGATATGTTCTTATTAGCTTTGCTTAAAAGTGGAATCTGTCTATTGCTGTATAAATCACATTTTGAAGACTTTTATTAGCAGAGCAAGCAAGCCAATGGAGAGTTTTAAACTATGGACGAGATTAAAGGGGAGTGAAACTTCTGTATTAGCAATTCCAGTGAGGGGGGCAGACCTGTGGACTACTCAAAAATAGCTTGACTCAAAATTGGCCTATAGAGACCATAACCACTATATTGACATGTAGTGGTTATGGTACTGATAATGCAACTTGAATTTGTAGATTAGTGAATATTACCAAATAAATCTCACATTTTATGCACGAATCCTCTGTGACTCGAGGCAGACAGTAGCTTACAAATAATACCACTAAATTCATAATCTTAATGTGACGTATCACTTTGTAGCTTTAGGTCTTAGAAATTAGGGAGATTTAGGGATTTAGGGTAGATGATGTGTATTCTGAAATATGAGAAACCAAGAAATCGGACATTTTGATATTTTGAAAAGTTAATCAGGCAAAGTTATCTCGAGTCTGCTGGGAAAGCGACTTGCTGGAAGATTCCTCCCCCTGCTGATTGCTGTGTGGAATTACCCCCAAACTCTCAATGATAAGTGTGGACCACATATCAGGATTAATATTGAAACCACAAGGGCATGCATGGCCATAATGTCTGACCCTCAACCAGGGCCGGACTGGGAATTAAAAGCAGCCCTGGAAAAAAAATATTTACCAGCCCCATAATGCGTCGCGCCAGCATAGTGTGCGGATACAGAGTTAGAACAGATAACGTAAAATGAAAAATTACTCCAACGTAAAAAGCGCACTCATAGGCTTCAAAATAAACAAAAGTGCAGATTTATTTTAAGCAGACGTGCCTTTGCATGTAATCAATGTTTCAGTCCAACTACCTTGACATATTAAGGAAAGCTTGTTAATGGGACTGAAATGGTGAATGTATGTAGGGCACAACTGTAAAAAAATGACGTTATCTTGTTTATTTTGAAGTCCTGTGGGTGCACTCTTCACTTTAAATATGTTATTGTGATGGAGTATGCACCTAGCAACAAGACTGGGCCAATATCTGCTCATTACATATAGTACATATTAATGACATTTATCTGTGTATTATGCATTTATAAATGTACATTAATATATGTGTAAATATAATATATATATATATATATATATATATATATATACATATATATATATATCTAATACACATTAATATATATGTCATATACCAGTGGTGGATACAGAGCCTGATCCCAGCAGGGGCACTTGTAGATTATTTAAAGAAATAATCCATGCACAATAACCACTACTGCTCTGTGTAGTGGTTATGGTGCAAGGAGTGCCGGGACCCCCTCCCAGAGTAAGTAGTCAAACCGTTTAAGAACAGTTTGACAACTTACCTGGGGTCTGCTGGGATATAGGAGCAGTGGTGCAATGTGTGAGGGGTGCAGTGTGTGTGAAAGGTTCAGTGTATGTGTGTGTGTGTGGGAGGCGGTGTAGTGTGTGAATGTGTAGGGTGTGTGGGGCAATGTGTGTATGGGGGGGCTGTGTATGTGTGTGGGGGCAGTTTGTGAATATGTATGGTGTGTGTGTGGGCAGTGTGTGTATGGGGGGCAGTGTGTGCCGCACGGTGCCTGTGGAACGGGGAGGGAGATTGGCTGGCAGGGGAGAGCCTCGTGGGAATGTTCTGTTGTTTCCCCCCTGTGATCCACCAGTGATATATACAGCCCCTCTGTGTGCCTTTTTGTCTCCCCCCAGTCACTCTGTATGTTTCTTTCTCCCCCTCACTGCTCCTCTGTGTCCATGTCTCCCCTCTCCTTTCCAGTCTCTCTTTTCCCCCTCTGCCTCTTTCTCCCCCTCCCCTTGTGTGTCTCTCCCCTTTCCCCCTCTACCTCTTTCTCCCCCTCCCCTTGTGTTTCTCTCTCCTTCCCCCCTCTGCCTCTTTCTCCCCCTCCCCTTGTGTGTCTCTCTCCTTTCCCCCTCTGCCTCTCTCTCCCCCTCCCCTTGTGTGTCTCTCTACTTTCTCCCTCTGTCTCTTTCTCCCCTCCCCTTGTGTGTCTCTCTCCTTTCCCCTTGTGCGTCTCTCTCCCCCTCCCTT